TTATTTCCAGGTAAAATTTGAAGTAAAGTAATTGACGAAATACAAAGCCCAAAAGTGAATTCAAGTGCTTTATTTTTAGACTAACAAAATGGAACTTTTAGATTCTTGTGAGAAAAAAACAGCTCATTATATCCGTACTATTTGTAAAATCTCATTTTTCTGTCCAAATCAAACTTCGCCAGCCGAAAATCGGCTTATGTCAAACTGTAACTCAGTATGAAAACTAGCCACTTGACTAACTTTCCACCCCACATTGAAATGAGCCAATGTTCACATTCAAGACGAATTTCAAGACGAATTTCAAGACGATTCCCCAATTAAATGTGTTTTGAGAAGATGTGTGGCTTTGATTTATACTCCGTAGCACAACAATACGATATTGTCGCAGTGTGGAAAAGGTGCCAGATTCCATGGATGAAAGTCATTTTGACGTATAAATTGCAATTAGTCGTGTGCAAATGTATGTGCCTATGCAAGTGAAAATTATTGTGGTTTTCGCTGGTTTTGATAGTTGACGGTCGAAATGTGTGATTCGTAACATAGGCATACAGCATATCGTAAACAAAGTTTCGCCCATCACTCGCTCGCTCGTTCGTTCGTGCGCTCGCCTTGCATTGCACTCATAGGCCGAGTTATTTAATAAGGTGGAATCGGTTCATATCCCAATTTTATTATTCGTCATTGTAAACAGAATATCCGAAACATTCAACCGTATCAACCTGCATTCATTGAGTGTGGATGCAATGCATACACTGAATTGAAATGTTTCTGTGAAACAGCAACCGATAATTACGCATAAATTATATGTAGCATTGTGCCACATAATTTGAATGCATTTCAAATGCAAAATCAGTCATCTCGTCTCTCACTCACTCACTCCCTTTCTCTCTCGCGAGCGTCGTCCACATATTTCCATGCATACCATTCATTTCGACTATGTTACTCGAAATTATAATTGGTTAATTTTCTTGTCACACATATTTTAATTGGTTTTCATGCCGTTTTTCTCCATTTGTTGATGCTGCAAATCGAACTTTATGCGCATGAAAATGGCAGTCGCATAAATTGCTTATAGATGGTCAAAATTGGTGCATTTTCAGATGCACAATCAATCGTTTCCAACCAAATCAAGCTAATTAGTTACGCTTCTAGACGATTTCAACTGACAGATCAAAACAAAACATAACAAATAAAGGTGGGAAAAAAAGATTGAAATAGATCAAAATTCCAAGAGAAAATCATTTTGATGTAGAAAATACTAAATCGACGTAGGTTTTTAAATATTTATTCATTGGAAATTCAATCGAATTTGGTCATTGAAATTTCGATTTGTTTATTGCATTCAAGCCCTGAATTCCAAGGCTTGGAATTTCGATTCTAGTTGCAAAACCGAAATCAACTTCAAGACATCCACCTGAAATTCACCGTTAATGCGGCAGCATTGCGTAAATAATTCGTATCGGGTGATTTGTGATTAAAATTCACTTTGTGTTTCGTTGATGTGTGTATGTGTGTCTGTTGTGTGTGCATCCAATTCGAATCCATTTCGAAATTGCGCAATTCCGGAATTGCATTACGAAATATGCGGATAATACGAATGATGACACTTGTGCAGCTATTCGTCCGCATTCAAAGGCATATATTTCATTGTAAGTTAATTTCCGATTTCAATTTTCAGAATTGGCATCTCAAATTATCATTAAGGTATGGATACGAAATGCGAGTGTGAAACGAATCGAAATTTATGGCGATGCTTGATAAATAAATAAAGCGTTAAATTATGCCACTTAATAATTTTCGTCGCATTCTGACAGAAATACCGGAGCATCTTGATATTGATAGTGGTTTGAGGGAAAAGTGCATGGTATACAATGAGTGGATGATTGCGAGAATATTTTTGTACGCTTTGATTTCAGTGTTAATGACTTAATTGGTTGCTAAACACGGTTTCAACTGATCTCTAAATTAGAGACTCTATCTCAATGTCGTTCAGATGAATGAATTCAAACGCTCAACAATTTGAACTTTCACCAATAGTTGATATGGTATTGTCAGTTCATTAGATAAATAATCAAATTGCAATTTGAGTTCATCTCTGCGCACCAATCAAAATGCACGAAGAAAATTTTTCTTCCAGAGGGAACAGAAAATGCCTATTAGTTACTCCAAATCTAGTCAAATTGAAAATTCCTCTTCCCCAACTGCAATTCTCAATTAAATTTTACATTTTTGGACTTGAATGCATGATTTCATTTGGGCTTAAATATTTTATGGTCAACGAACATTTTCGAAGAGTCAAAATGCATTCGCTTGAAATGAATGGCAAAAAGTGTCAAAATTCAAGAAACATTTCAAGAAATGTTATGCGGTTTTGAAGCTTAATGAAGTTGAAATTCATAGTAAAATGTGCAAAAAAACTTTTTCCGAATGCAAAGAGGCAAGTCAATTGCCAGTAAAAATGATGAGTTTGTGCAAAATATAACCGAGTACTTATTTCTTATTCGAATGAGCAATGTTCTAGTTGAGCATCGTAAAGAATGAGCAATGAGCATAGTAATGCCATGGAAACTCGGCTCGGATGGAAAAGAGGTTTGCAATCCAAGAAAAGCGCATAATTCTTTGAGTACGAGACCGAAAAAGAAACTTAAATGAGCACATACACATATCATTCAGCTCATTATCATTTTAAATTGCTGCCTCTTGTTCGTTCATTACCATTTTAATCCGTACAAAGAAGTCAAGGCAAGTTTGCAAGATCAGCAAGACTATGGCGTAGAAAATGATCACAACAACACCATCAAAATGGGATATTTAACAATTCAGCACAAGTTTCAATTCATTTTTCTTCGTCTTATGTGTGTGTGTGTGTGGAAACGCCATTAACATGTAAGTCATCTCATTTGAATAAAATCACACTCAATTGTTGTGCATTGTTTATTGTTTCTGTGTCTTTTCTGTAGAAAAACCGACAAAAAGACGTAAAACTTTTTCATGTTATCTTATTCTTTGTGCGTCAATTATAATAATTGTGTATGAGCATGAGAGAGAGAGAGAGAGAGAGGGCGAATTGTTTTGTGTTGATTCGGTCGTTGTCTTGTTGTCGAAATACAAATCATTGCTCTCTCTCTCCCATTCTATTTCGTCGTGTACAACATTCACGATGAAAAGTGTGCGGATGAATTTAATTAATTCGTAAACAACGTTTTTCAAGTGAATACGCTCATGGTTTATTACCACCACCATCATCATCATCATCATATAAGCCATCCCATACGAGCGTGTATTTGAAGAGGGTGTGAGAAAGCTCGACTTGTCTTCCAACAACTGCAATGAATTTTAACTAAATGGGCGGATTGTGTGTGCGTTATCATTCTTAGCGAATATGTAAAAATGAGTTTGTGGAAAATAGTTCTAACATATTTTAATTAAAGGATTTCATTTGGCAAGCAAGCAAGAGAACAAGTTATTTGGTTTGTTACTGTTTCGAATTTTCGTGTATGTCTCCGGAGATTTATCACACAGCTGTATATAGCGACAGCGAAGGATTCTATTACAAGCAAGGTTTATCCTTTCGACATTGAATGCGACTAACTATCGAAGTGAAATATTCAACAAATTATGTCTGAAATTTCCAAAAGTTTAATCTCAAAAGTTAATGATAACACTGATGCTAATCAGCTCGAAATGATGCTCTGAAGACAGTGCGTCTTTCATACGTTCGTAGTTAAATTTTAAATTTTATTCCGGCACTGGAGCCGCTTTCGTTTCGAATAAACTCAGAGTGAGACATAGTGAGCGAAAGAGAATCCACACAGAAATCCCCATCTAATGCCGAACCAACTTTTCAACATTGCCGACCGGAAGCAGGCAGAAAGAGTGTCCGAAAACCTTATCGCACCCGGACAATTCGCATAATACTTAAAATCAGTGAAGCGCAATGGTTTACAATTGTGCATTTTGAAATGTGCATCACGTAAACTGATGGCCAGACACTTGGCGCAGCACACATTGCAATTTAATGGATTAATTTTATGAGAGAACGAAAGAACCATTTTATGCCTTCGACCTGACCATCGAACACGCAAATATACTGCCACATTGATAAATTCGAAACATATATATTTTGTGCCCGAAAACTGGATGCCGTTGTGCATCGTTTGAATTGAACCTTTTTTTTCCATTAGCATTTGGAAGTTATTTGACGTTTGTTGCATCGCATCAGATTAGAAAAATGTCATTACAGTTTGACTTTTGCTTTGGACATACACAGGTGAACAAACATATACACTCTTCGTGCATTTTGGATTTACTCCTTGAATGTATTTGAGTTCATTTCTCGTTCGTTCGGCCGTTTTAATGGTAAAAGCATGTTGAGCTGATGCAGCACATCACTGCACTTTTCCTTGCTAAAGGAAATGAGATGGTCGACAAAAATGGTCGATTCAGAAAATGTTTGGCAAAATCCCTTGTACTTACCAACTGACATGCTATTTGGATTGACATCATTTTTACATTGTATCTCTATCTCTATCTCTCTCTCCATGTGCTTCGCAATGTATCTCTCTGTACGTTCGTTCTGCAGCCATAGCCAACAGCATTTGATGGCGATTTTTTGACATCACAACGACCCATCGTCATTTCCACCTAAACGTTACGATTACACAGTAACCAATTTTATTTTATTGCATAATGTACGGGGGCCATCACATCACAAATTATGGTGGCCATTGAATATTGTGCCCTCAACGAATTTTGTCGGAATAATTGCTTGTGTTTGCCGGGTGAACGTAACGTGATTTTGGAATCGTGTTCATTTCGCTTAGGCAATGACTTCGATGTGTTGTGCAGCTGGTGAATCGAACGGAAATTCCGAATCAAGCTAAATTATTAAGTGCAGATCGTTGCAATCGACGACCTAAACTCATTTCTATGTTGCGACAACTTACCGAATTTTTCGTTCCTGAAAACTGCAAATATGACACGAAACGAATATGGAACAATTTTGTTTACATTAAATCAATATTTATTGAATTTTCTCTTTCTCTCAGTGGTAGGAATTTCGTTTTCGACGAAATAACATTTGTTTTTATTTTCTGTTAGAAGTGAGTGCGTGTGTGTGTGTGTGTGTGTGCTTTTTAAATCTAGGTTCAAATTTGGGGGTTGTCTTGATCGTTAATTTCTACATCAAAAATTGTTTCGGACACTGTTTCACATTCAGATTTAACTTTTAAAACTGCATACAAAGATGGGCTTGAATAATTTTTTCTTTTATTTTAACCTGTGCTAAATTATTTGTCTATAATTCTCAAATTGACACCTTAATTCATTGTTCATTTTGTGATTTTGTTGATCGAATAGTTTTCCTTTTTATTTGGTTTAACTTCGTTTTTGGTGTGGTTTAACTTGAAATGCTCAGTTTTAAACTCTTATTTTCCATATATGCTTATAATTCTTATTCTCTGTGTGAAGACAAATATGCCAAGGATTCCAAGGAAATTGAATAGTTCTACGAGTGAGAGACATCCTTACAAAATATTCCATGATTATTAAAATGTTTTTAGTCCAAAGATTTTGTGTGTGTGTGTGTTTGTGTGAATGAATGAGCTTGAGTTGTGTATTTGCATGTGTGTTAGTTACTACAATTACAATAAGATTCAATAAACTTCCGAAATACGCCATTATTTACTTTTGGTTATGATTATGTTTGTGAATGATTCTTTTTTTGCTAATTGCATTTGCTCGAACTATGTTTTCATTGCAACTTTTCCCTTATGACTACACGAATAAGCCAATTTCAATCACGTCCATCTCAACATTTACCCAAGAACGATTAATTTATATTTCTCTTAGCTTTCTGTATACCTTTTGTTTTCATTCCTGTTTGTTGAATGCATATTTTGAATGAGCGAGTGAGAATCAAACAAGAATGCGCTTTCCACTACATTTTTCTACTCACTCGACTCCAAGAAAAGTATGAGATAGATTCAATACTTTATTGCACATATAAAATGGTTTACGCTAAAAATCTAATGACTTCATATTCACAACATTTGTCAAAATTTTACCAAAGCCGAGCTGCTATTCCAAAATCCTTTCCTCTTCATCGAATTTATTTTCTTCATTTTTGTTTATTTCCAGCATTTTTTCTCTTACCTTTTTAAAAGAATCTTTTTAATTCAAAGATTTATACAAAATGAGTAGTTTAAAACTACTAGTTTTGAGCCATAGTCTTTCGAATTCCAAAATTGCGAATTTAGTTCTAATCCTTTCATTCGAGATTTTTACGTAAAGATTCTTACAACACTTGACAACGATTTTGGATAATGTTTCTGGTTTTTCCTTCTCTTTTTTCCTGTTTGAAATATTCCCTTTACCGAATAAAAATACATTGACACTGATGCCGCATCAGCGATGCGTATGTTTCTATACAGTAAATCAGTTTCTTTCAGCATCACTGTTGTGTTTGTCTTTTTACGACTAGATTTCACTATTTGTATTTTGTGTCACTTATGTACATAAAATATGTGAATGAAGAGGAAAATGATACCATGCCGTGTTGTATTCATTGTTGAAATAAATCAATATGTTCAATGTACAATTGGTTTAAAGTTTAGTTTAAAATTGAATTATTCGAATGAATTGCTAATGAAAACGTAGTTTAAAGGTGTGCTCTTTCTTCTTTGTTCAAGAAATGTGTGATAAAACATTGATATATTTACATAAAAACTGCAATTGGATCTACGATCCGGCGAAGATCTCTCTGACTAGCTTAATTAACATGGCTATTACCTAAAAATGACTGTGTTGTGTTTTTTTTTCACTTTGAAAAATTTTGAATTTCAATTTGATTTTTAATCAAACACCGAAAAAAATGCGTGCGAAATGAGTTTCTGTTTATTGGTTGGTGACTCCGTGCGAGTCCAAATGCCAATACTAATAGGGCCGCCAAACTGCGTTGTCTGTGTGATGGTGTGGTGCTCGTGGAATGGCCATTTGACGTGCGCTATCTTCACCAGCCCGTGCACTACTGCCACAATTGCCGAGATGTGTTAAATCCGTTCCGCCAATCATTAAATTCTGTTGTTGTCGACCCGATGCCGTCGTAATGTGTTCCATCACCGATTGCAGTTCACCATGTACCATGGAATTTTGGGCGGCGTGTGAATGAAATCCATGTGATTGGTTAGCAGCCGTATACAATTGGGAATAGAGTAAACTCGCCGGTAAAACTGGATATAGCGAACTATTACAACCGGCACCACTGCTACCAGTTCCGTATGAATTTTGGCTTTGATTACCACCACTGATAAAATTTTGATTGTTGCCAATGGCTGAGCTGGGATTGTTTGGAAGATTTCCTCCGTTTGTATTGGCATTAGCCGATCCATTGTTGCCATTGCCCAAATTCGGTGTGTTTGATGTGAGCAAATCATCTTGGACCGGTGATTCAGCTTGTGATGAATCGCTTAGACTGCGTGGACCATTGTTGCTTGCGTGCAAATTGTAATCATTTGTAGTGGCTAGGTAGCGTGGAATATGATTCGTTCCATTCAGAGTGGCTTGGGACAAACTGCCATGATTTGCAGTCATTTGACCAGTCGGGCTTGTTCCAACCAAATTGCTGAGATGCTGATCTAAATCATTTGCCGTGGAATCCGGCAACACTAACGCAGAAGAGAAATGGGGTTTTCATTCATGAATTTGAGAATTTTTGGATTTTCAAACAATTTTCCTTTATTTTAGGCTGATTGGTTTCTGCCCTTAATTGACTGAAAACTAGCATCTAAATTCGAATCGATGAACGTGCTGTGGCCCTAACTTTATTTATAAACTTACTTGGTAAACACTCACGTGCATTGTTTGTGAAATCTTGTGTGGTCGCCTGATCGGTGGCCGAGCAGCTAAATCCCAGTGCTGGATTATTGAATTGTGCAGCCGATGTGGTGCCACATGTTGATAGTCCGCTGCTAGTGAGATACGGTGAATAGTTGGCTGAACTGTATCCCCAATGTGAATTGGCCGTTCCTAAGCCAAACTGCGACATATCTAATGGATAAATCAACATTTGCAATGTTAAAATATTTACACCCTTTCTGCTTTCGCTCTCTGCCGTTTTTTATTGAAATAAATGTGCATCATTTTTGAACGAATGAGGGACGAAAAATTGGTTGAATTTTCAATAAATTCATATATGCGCGAGCGTTAAAATAAACACATTGAATAGTGAATACACACAAACACAAACGCGTGCGCGCGCTCACATGCTTTTTGGCTGCGTGAATACAAACTTAATAAATTTAATTTAAAATAAAGCCAGAGAGATGATGAATGGAAATGGTCCGTAAGCAAAATATACGATATGTGAAAAAATGAGGACGCAAATTAATAATGTCAAATTATTTATTAATGGCATTCGTATGTGCACCGGCCGCTTTTTAAATAGCACAGGGTGCGATAGTCGATGCAGCAGCGGCCAATTGTGCCATTCGGATCATGTTCTCTCGGGCGAATCGATTTCAGAAGCCAAAAATTGTTATTTAAATCACTAATGATATTATGTGTGTCTGTGTTTGGGCCACACTGTACGAACTCGCGACATACACGGAGTGTAATTAAAAATATTTCATTAATAAAATTGCGTGTCGCGAACGCGCGCGCTGATGAATATTCGTTTTAAATTTTGACTTGAAATTTAATCCTAAAATCGGATCGGGTGCCGTTTAAATGACCGAATATGGTTTTATCAGTGAATGTACGTAGCAAACTGGTGAGGACCGCTATGGGTGAACAAAAACCTGCAATGTATCTCGCATGTGTGCGGTACACAAATTTCGATGTAATTTAATAAAAAATAATTAATGGAAAAATTAATAAAACTAACAACCAGTCACCCAGACTATGCCATCGTTACATTCAGCGGATAATATTTTTCGGCAAAATATGAATCGATTTTAATTTACAATGAAATGTTCAATTTCTCGCCAACGCATATCGATATTCGGTTGATGATTATGAATTTTTCAAGGAGATTAAAGTAAAAGTACTTACTTTGACAATTTCCAATCGGAGGCATTCGAAAGCCGGATAGTGGATCAGCCGGAAAATGAAACGGACGCTGACCAAATGCAAAGTGGAACTGTTGTTGTTGCCCTAAAAGTGATAACACTGATATTTTTAGTCTGATTTCTGTCCTCATTGAACGATTCGCATAAAGGCTACTGTGTGTGTGTGTACGCGCTCGCTCATTCCATAAAATGCTCTTGGTCGAATTTACTGACTAAAAGTCATTTCGAATTTAATTGGCTCGCTTTGAAAGGATCAAACCCCTAACAAAGAAAAACTCTTTAATTTGTTTAGATTTTATGTGTTGCCAACGAGTGCTCTCGTACAAGTTCCACATAAAATTAATTGAAATACTTGATTTAATTCATGGCATTCTATTCGGTGATTTTATGTAGAACAATCAATAAAATGTCTTTCACCTCAATCAACGTAACGAGAATACGACAACGGAGGGATGAAACGTTGTAACGAGAAAAACGCTGAACATACATTCAAAAAAAACTGTTGCTCGACCTTATAAGGTCCACGGTTGAAAAATGCACGTACACTGTCGTTAAAACTAAGCCATTAATTTAGTTGAAACACAATAAAATAAGCGAAAAATTCAACGATGCAGCACCGCTACTTCACTGGAGCAAGAATCCACATGTGGAAAAACGGTCTTTTGTGTGTAGTTAAAACGAAATTTCGGGATATAATTGTTACTTTTAAGCATTTTGTAATTTGAATGTGTTCGCTTTGGTGTGGATTTTCGTTGGGGAAATTGCTATGGTGACGCAAATTGATGCGAGTGTTTGCGATTTGTCGACCGTGCTCTCGCACACACACACACACGTCATTTGAGCTAACCAATTTATCTCAGTCCGATCTTTCTCTCTCTCTATCTATCTCTCTCTCTCTCGTTTTCGACGTCTGACACGAATCCCGTTTGCAAAATCACCATCGTCGTTGTCGTCTTGCTACATTAATTATGATTTTCTAAAGAAAACAGCTCCTTAATCGTCACATTTCTCTTATTAACCGAACTAGTTTTTAGTTCTTGCTACAAGCATTTCATGTGTGCAACGGCGTCTCTTCAGTTATTTGACAAATCTCACACCAAACAATGAACATGTTGGCACTTTAAAATGAATCGTTTCGGTAAATCAATTTTATTCATCCCCATTATTTTCCCTCTTCGGTTGCAAATCGTGTGTGTGCGCACATATGTGAAAATCAAAAGAGTGCCGAACACATAAACTACTGCTTCTCGACCGTCGACCGGAGCGGGCAAACGAACGAGTGAGTAAATGAGTGGGTTTTCGTGTACAAGAAAACAGGCAACAGACGAGCCACACACACACACAGCTAAAACAAAGAACATGTATAAATTTCACATTTAACATCTCGGAATAGATTTTATTTTATTTTAATTCGCATTCGGTGTCGTTGTTGTTGTAGTCGTCGTGGTCGTCGTCGTTGTCGCATAAGGGCAGCGTATGTATTGTTTTAATGTTGGATTAGCAAAGATAAAGGAGGACAATACACAATTCATTTTCTGTAACAATGAAAATTGTCTGACAACACATTCGGCCCCGGCCATTGCTTCAACACACACTCACTCACAATGTTCCGTCACTATTTTCGATGAACTATGAACTTTGCAAACAATACCGGATTCGAATGATAGAGTGTAAAGACCGAAAGTCTTATTTTCATTTTCTAATCTACCTACGAATCAAATTTTATACACGATGGTCGCTCACTCGTGTATCTCGAAACCTAAATTGGTGACATAAGGGAAAAGCGAGAATTTTATCGCATGCCAACAGCAACATTCATTGGGCCGTAGATTGAAATGCACAATGGCAAATGAGGAAAATAATCGACGACCAGCTCTTACTCACGCGCTCTATCTCCGTCTGGCTCAAAGTACAGCCGAAGTTAAGTGATTTAGCCACAGAATCGCGACAGCTGTTAACAGAGAGAATCGCTTCAAAACTTATGTCATTTTTGCTGAGTGAGATTTTCTAAGCTCAATTAAAGTTCAGCTGCATGTCGCTCGCTCATGTAATCGAAATCGCTCATGTGCCTAAAACTTATGAGTTTAGTGTTGACCTGAGGATTTATGCGAAACTTTGCGTATACACCATTTTAAAGCCATATTTAATCATTTTCAACAGAAACATTTTTTGAAAATATGAAAAATCGTTTATCCCATGTTTGCCATCAATTATTCCCTTACTTGAGGAGTCAATTAATTATTTTCATTAAAATCTGACCGATTTTATCAATAATGATGCTTTCGTGTGTTGGCCGTGCAAAATTTATTGCACCTCGTCGATCAAGCCTCTTCACAGTGATTATATTCATTTTTGTATTTCAATATATTTGGACAGTTGATGTGTACGCGCGATGCGCTTGCTGTCCAAAGGCGGTAGAATTTATGTAAATATGTGTGTTGGTCAAATATTTTGACCCGGTACAAATTGAATGGAGCGCTCTCTCACTCTTCATTGGAGCATTTCTAATTAAAATATTTCGTGTGCCTGATCAACTCTTGTTGATGCTTTAAATTAAATGGTTTCGGCTCCTTTTGCACAAAATAGCACAAAGTAAAGTTGTTTGTTTGTTTGTGCATGAGCTGAATTTCGCATGACCGGGGGTCAGTTGGTCTATTTGCATGCCGCTCTCTAAAATTCATTAGCAACATACAAAGAGCTCATCCGGTAGCTTGATCTTTGTTTGACTTGAGCGTCACACACTTATACACACATATGCATCGTTTGGGAGAGAGTATCGCAGAGAGAAAGAGTGTGTGCTATGTGCTTTCATGCCTAAGATGTGTGTGATTTGATTTACAATGGTGCAGTTTCGTGTTTGATTAGTTCGAGTATGTTGCCAAGAATCTCAATGGCAAATGGGAGGAAATAAATAGCAAACTTCACTTTGACTCGGAATTTATTACAATTTCCACATGCTTGACGACAACCGATAAGGCGATTCCAACTTATATGTCGTCGACACACTTCTCTCGCTCTCTTCCTTCTCACTCACTCGTGCACCAATCCAAATAAGTTGACACATTGCCAAAAGACACGTTGCAAAAGGCAGCCAGCACCAAACGAATGCAAATATTTGTGATGAATATCGTTGAGCAGTCGAATTGAAGAAAAGCTCAGAGGAGGATCACAGACAAATACGTTAGTCACTGTCATCAAGCCGCTTTAATTCATTAAAGCACTATATTTTAGCCAAAAAGGATCTTGAGACCACTTTTGCAAAAGTGAGGGAATTGAGATTTATGTAAAATTTCAAACATCTTGTACCACTGAAATATGCATCGATGCAAAGAGGATATTCTAATTGTGACCACAACTACAGCATTGAAACAGGAAATCCAAGCGGTCGCTTCTCAAGCTATATCTATAGTTAATTTTTGCTCATTTCTTGCATTTCGACCATTGACCACAGAGAGAAAATGTCTTTCGTTAGGGAAAAATGATAGCCCAGTTGGGTTTTTTTTCTTAATTTGTTCAAAAAAAATTGGAATACAGAAAAAAAACTCAACCTAAAGGATATAAGTTTATATACACCACTTACTTGTCTTTGAACGAGGCTCTCTGGGACCGTCAACAGTTACTTTTATCGCTTTGCTGTAGGTTGCAATATGTGGCGGGCTTGTTGATACTGTTATCGTTAAAGTAAAGCTTTTACCTGTGAAAAGAAATGATTACAGAATGAGAAAAGGACTTGGGTACGAAACAGGTTTGAATTTAATTCTTAGTTCAAATGTTTAACTATACTAATTTGTAATGGAATGGTTTTTAAAATAAAATAATTTCGATTCAAAATATTTCTTTTCTTCTTTTTTCATTTAAAGATTCTACATCACTCTGGAGAGTCTCCAAAGTTTTTTCATTTGAAAATGAAGGTTATCGTTAGAGAATTCATTCACACCTTCAAAAAATAGCCCATATGATTCAGAATTTAAAAAAAGACGAAGAATTGAAAAAAAAGATGAAAATGCCGACGCTTGTTGTCATCATTATGGATTTAAAACCACTTCAACAAGTCTGCGGGTGGGATTGGTGTGTGCAATGTGCAAGCGGTTGTGTGTTTGTGTGTGCGTGTTGCTTGTAAGAGAGAAAAAAAACAACAAACATCGTGCAAACCGGAGTTGAATAGCGTGTCATGAAGCTTCCACTGTTCGGTTCGCCCAATAACCTCAAATCAAACCGATACTTAAACCATGAAGCCGAAACTTTACCCCACTCTAACTAATCGTAGCAACCGCCGTAGTGTTTTGCGAATATTGCTTCACAAATCGTCGATCTGGTTGATGAGTGTGTCTAGGCGAAAATGGGTATGAAAACACCGGGCGTTCGGTGTATGCAAACTTGGTTTGGCATTCGTCATCAATCAAGTTTTGCGTTTTTGATTGCATCGTTGTCAAACGCCGCTTAGGCTGAATTGTGTGTTACCTATGCATATTCAAAGAATCATTTCTAACTCTTCCACAAAAGTACTCGAAAATATGAGAAAGGAAAACGAAAAATTGTCGAATTTTTTAAATTCTATTTTTGTTCATAAGTTTAAAAAGAAAACAACTAAAACCATTTTGCAAATTATTATCATCCGAAAAAAAACACAAAATTTTGATGATTTCTATATTGAATTTTACCGATTGCGTCGCGTGCAGACAACTAAAGTTCCCATTTCATTTTGGGATCACGTGCGCCGACGGCTAAAACACATTGCAAACATGCAATCTTTCCCGAAAAAACTTTATTAATAAAAACATTGAAATGCGATTGAATGTGTGGCACGGTTAAGTTGTCGGATATTTTCATTTCAATTTATTTCCAAACGATTATTTATTCAATTATTGATTTGTTCTGGATGGTGGTGGGAGAGAGAGGCATAATTTGACTAAATCACACATATCATGTTTATTCGATTTGATGTCGTGTTTGTTTTGAATATCCGTAACAGGCGCTAAAATCTGGAAAATTACATTTAATACTGATTTACGATGGCCAAGCACGTGAAAAAACGATAAATACCTTTCCCAAAGACCCCAATACAACAATTCAATTTGTTTAGAAATGAAATCTAAACAGATATGAAACGAATAAATGTCGCAAATTGACCTCGTGACACTCAATTGTGTGACATCGATATATTTACCTCCGCCCTCATAAACAGCAACGACACCAAATAGCGGTTGTTGGTTAATATTCTGCATTTTTCACTAAGAAAAAATGGGAAGTAAAAAGAGGTGCCCATAATAAAAACACACACAAAGAGTGTGAGAGGCTAACAAAAACGGGCTTGCAAACATCATCGGAAACAAAATATAAATGTTCGTCGGTTGATGTAATTCAGTTGACTTTTTAAAAGGGCATCACTCAATTGACACACGCCGATGAACAGGAATGTCGCATTGTCGCGTATATGGAGATGAAAAAAACAGAAACGCGCGCGCACGGCACTACTGTCGCTTATTGATGTGACGGGTGCATTGGTTGTACGCGGCCCGAAAAGAGTTCGCCGTTTATTAACAATGAGCGAATCCACTCGCATCGTGAAACATGTGCAAATAACCGACAACCATGGAAAAAATGATGATTTTGCTGAAATGAAAAATACCCACAAAAAAGAGACTTGATGGTTGGAACCAAGCCGAAATGCACACACACACACACATATATATATAGAGACTGAGTCAGGAAAAAAACGCGCATATTTTGTGCATAAGCACATCAAAAGTGTGGAGAGAAAATGAGAGAGATAGGAAAAAAACGGCCGTATCACAATAACTACCACTTCGCTTTCTGGCAATGACCAAAATTGTTACTAACAGTAAAACCACGCGCGCTCTTAATTTTGGTTTGAGGTAACACACAATCATAGCCGAAACAAAAGGCCAGCCACACACACAGCAGCGGTGACGACGAAAATTCGAAAACAGTGGCTTCCAAATCACACATTAATTTGGTCCTTGCTGCCCATTTTCCGGCAAAAACTCACTCTCTCTCTCTGGCTCGCTCGTTCACTCGCGCGCGCGAATAAAATCCACCATTTTTCACTGCAAACTGCTACAACACACACACCGGCCGCGCGTTGAGGCTAAATATCCGAAATTTCTCTCGATTAACATTCAACTCACACCAAAATTTGCGTTGAAAATGGATCGTCTGCAGTTTTCAGCAAAAGGGTTAGTCGCTCTATCCCGTCATTTTGCTAAATCGCCGAAATATTGATCGGGCAATGTATCCTTCTAGATTGCTGTTCATTGAAGCGACTGGCTTGATATTCGATATATATCGGCACAAGCATCGCGACAGCGTTTTCAATGATGTTTGCTTAACCAAATTACAAGTGTAGTTCAGATTCACTGAGAACCATGGACAATTTGGAGAAATACACTTTTTCATTGGGCACAATGTACCCGTGCCAAATGAACCTCGATACACCACATTTGAAAAGCCGCCAATAAAAAAAAGTCATCGGACCGTTCATTGTTCCGTACACTTGTTTTCTTTTCACATCTATTTTTGGCTTTATGAATGGTCGTGTGTTCCGTCGTTAAAACCCATCGAATAATACTTTGGACGCTGACCGCTACCTTTTTTTCGCTCGTTTTCCCTCACTCCTTTTGCTCGCACTTCAATCAACTTTGCAACAAAGTGACAATGCAAAATCGATGACTTGATCATTTAGTGCAAATTTAACATGGTGTACACTTTTTGCATTGATTTTAATTGGATTTTGGCCGACTACTGACATTTTAAATGGTTGCATTTATTCGCCAAGCACAATTTTAATTGATAGTATGCCATTAATAGCACACTTTTGTGTCACCGAGTTGTGTCACTCAGCTGCCTTCAGTATGTGCTGTGCATCGCATCAAATTAACTTATCGATATACGGGTGTGTGTAGAGATGGTCATATCTATACAACAGTAAAAATGAGGCTTTTATTATGCACTACGAAAAAATGTAGCGTAAAAAATGTACGAAGAAATTTTGCTGTAAAAAATCTAGTGTTTAAAAAAGCTTCGTTTAGTTTCATTGAATTTGTCTCCCTTTAATAGCAAAATCATTTCTGTGTTCAGACGGTATTGGAACTAATGCAAATTTAATTTGTACGAAACAGCCAACACTGCTAGAAAAAGGGTTCAAAAGTTGTCACTTGGCACACACGGAAGCGCAAAAAAATGGGTTGCTTAATGCGATTCCTACTCATCGACATGATAGCATGCGATCGCCCATAAGACAAATGACAGAACAATGTGCATAAAAAATGTGTCGCTCCTTCAAGTAAACGAGTTTCACTTGACAATCGAACACTTTCCCTCCCAGGTTTTTCGTCGAGTAAGCTTTGAACAACCAATTTTACACTAATGAATTATTGTTTTAACAACGAATTCAAAAAAAAGTTTCTAACTGCATTTGAAAGCATTTTTTACATTCACATCCCTTGGTGGTGCACTTAAACTCTCAAGTGCTGGCGCTAAAATGTGTGCTTCGAGTGTCAAATGGGTTTTTGTCACTGGGAGAAAGTTTTGTTGAAACCACTTTGTTTGATGAAGGCCCCAATCGACAATTCCCAAACGTGGCTCTTTTTTTTGTACGAGTGTGGATGGCGTTTTATTGGGGTTGTTCGTTCTTCCAAAAAGGATTTCATGGCCATGTGAATTAAACACAATTTCCACAATTTTCGGCCAAGTAAATTAAACACCAATTGTGTAGCATCCACTCAAATTGAGTTAAGCAGGTGAAACGGGAGCTGAGTTGCACAATGACAACAAAAAGAATTCATTGGGTCCTGATCCAATTGAAATGAACGAAAAAATGGAATTAAATTGGATTTATTCATTTGTAATTTATGCTACTTGTAGCGAATACATTTAGATAACAATTTGCTGGTGTGTGTGTGTGTGTATGGATCGGTGTAATGCAATGTAAAATTTCGTCGCAAGTAGAATGTGTCACACACGCATCACACTGTAACATGCACATGTGTTTTTGCGGTTATGTTTGAATAATACATTTGATTGTCATTGTTTTCACGCGAACGCCTGTTATGATTGTTATGATTATGAAATTTCAGACTGGATTTACAAGCGTAACCATTGATTAGCTTGCATTTTGGGTTCATCTTTGGTTTTCACTCGGCCCATATACACTAGCACATGTGAAGCGATGAAAATCGATGCAACACTACAACCATTCGCCCCCTTCCCACCTCTCGAAATATGGGAAAACAATTGTTACATGTTTCGTTCTGTCTCTCTCCAACTGCTGCACACACGGCACCATGAACGTGTATCTCTCACCATTGGGGCCGACCAAAGAATTTGCACTTCAGTGCGTTCGATGACAAGCCATACGATAGATATACAGACATTACAAAGTGCAAATATTGGTTTTGTGTCTTGTGCAATAAATCACAATGTCCGCACCAAAACTTTTCAGTGCTAAATTAATCCACAAACTTGCTTGTTACACATTCAATTACAACCACTTAAAAATATAGATCTAGATCTACTTGATAATATTCGATGCGATGGACAACGGTACACTTGTGGAAAATCACCGATGTGTGTCGCAGATATGAAGCGAAACAGAGAGAGAGAGAGAGAGAGAGAGAACGGCTTTGCATTGAGTTTCGCCAAGTGCAAAAAGTAGAAATGTTAATAATTCAAATA